TGGACTCAAGTGTAGCAACAGTAGTAAGATTGGCCCAGGATCGGACATTGTTTCGTTCTGCTGTGCATAGGGTCGCTATGAGTCGGTGCCGACTCGATGGCACCTAACAACAACATATCAGAAGATTAAAATCTAATTGTCTTTGAACGATTTTAGGAAACACTTTTAAAGTATTCAGTTTCAAAAGTAGATAAGAGCATTTTTTATGCTCTATTTTTTAGTACCTCTCCTATTTTTACGAGAGAATGAATATGAATTTTTCCAAAGAAGGAATAAACAGTTTTTAAAGCTAAGTAATTACAGCAACACAAGCTGCTGGGTTGTCTCTGGAGGGTATTTTATAATTAGCAAGTAAAGGTTCTTGAAATCCCTGGGCAATTGTAACCCTTTTTCCTCCTACAAGTCTCAACCAGAGGATTGTTAATATAGCAGGACTAAAACTATGGGGAATTTATAGGTTATCAACACCTGAGTAAAATGGCCAATTTTTGAGTGGTTAGATTTCTTGAATATAAACAGTATATATTGAATCATTGTACCTGAAAAAGGAATATGGAACTGAGACAATAGGGTTGTGTAGCTAAAAATTACTTTTAAAAAATCCAGGTTCACAGAAATATCCCTTCCGGTGCTGGGAGTTTCGCCAAATATCTTTCTTACACCTTTATTGCAACAAAGCATGTTTAGAAAACTGCTCTAATCCAACAAAAAATAAGCACCCAGTTTACAATCTTTTCTAATACACTGTGTGTTAAATGCTGTGAAATCAATCCCAACTCATAGTGATCCTGTTACAGAGTTTCCGAGGAGCAACCTGTAGGTTTGAACTGCCGACCTTGTGATTCGCAACCCAGTGCTGACTCTACAGCGCCAAACCAAAAGTCCAAAACACTGTATTATAAATTACAGCTACCCTGGTGTGACGCTAAAGGATCAACACTAGACTATAAGGTTGGTTTGAATCACAAGACCGGCAGTTCAAACTCAGCTACTCAAGTCCTGTACAGGGTGGCTCGATGTCGGGAACGCCTCGAAGGCACATAAAAGCATTTAGAAAAATGTACGTCTAAACAAGTAATAACACTACTTTAACCTAAAGACATCCACTGTGCTCTCAGGACTAATGCGGATTATAGAAAAGTGTGATAGGTGGCAAGGAGGTCAGACATAGCGCTGTGTGATAAACACTGGACTATAAGGTCAGTTCGAGCTAGAAAACCAGCGGTCCAACCCCACCACAAATCTTATCAGGACCGGTTGAGTTAGGATCCAACTCCATGACATTTACAGGACGAAAAATGTATGAACAGCTTTTCACAGACAAGGTGGATGGCTCTGAAAAGAGCCTTTGGAGCAAAGACGCCGGAAACTGCAAAAGCGGCGGGTCCCATAAAGGGACTCACTTGGAGCTGGTGTACTTGGTGACAGCCTTGGTGCCCTCGGACACGGCGTGCTTGGCCAGCTCACCGGGAAGCAGTAGGCGCACAGCAGTCTGGATCTCCCGGGACGTGATGGTCGACCGCTTGTTGTAATGCGCCAGGCGGGACGCCTCGCCGGCGATGCGCTCGAAGATATCGTTGACGAAGGAGTTCATGATGCCCATAGCCTTGGACGAGATGCCGGTGTCAGGATGTACCTGCTTCAGTACCTTGTACACGTAGATGGAGTAGCTCTCCTTGCGGCTGCGCTTACGCTTCTTGCCATCTTTCTTCTGGGCCTTGGTGACGGCTTTCTTAGAGCCCTTTTTGGGAGCAGGAGCGGACTTGGCTGGCTCAGGCATGACTGCAAAAACACGAGTCCCTTAAAAGCAGACAACCGTGAACAGTTGTGCAAGGTCTGTGGGAAATTACTCGGTACTTATAGAGGCTGTACGCAAATGAGGGTTCTGGCCACGCTGCGCTGTGATTCGCAAGTTTGCCGTAGAGCTGTTGCGAGGCGGCCGCGATTATGTAAATGAGTGTACTCTAACCAAGCCACCCTATTGGTCGTCAGAACAAAAATGCTTTTAAGCCAATCCAAACGGTCCGTAGACTATCTCCGTTCTGCTTATATAGGGTAAAGTGGTGCATTTGTCTGGACTTTTTGGAGAGTCAAGGAGCGGGTTTTCAGTCTTAGTTTTGCTGTCATGTCTGGCCGTGGTAAACAAGGAGGCAAAGCCCGCGCCAAAGCCAAGTCCCGCTCGTCCCGCGCAGGCCTTCAATTCCCGGTGGGCCGAGTCCACCGCCTTCTCCGCAAAGGCAACTATGCTGAGCGGGTGGGAGCTGGCGCGCCAGTCTACATGGCGGCCGTTCTGGAGTACCTGACCGCGGAAATCCTGGAGCTGGCGGGCAACGCGGCCCGCGACAACAAGAAGACCCGCATTATCCCCCGTCATCTCCAGTTGGCCATCCGCAACGACGAGGAGCTGAACAAGCTGTTGGGCAAAGTCACCATCGCCCAGGGTGGCGTTTTGCCCAACATCCAGGCCGTGTTGCTCCCGAAGAAGACGGAGAGCCACCATAAGGCAAAGGGCAAGTGAGGGCCACGCCCGGAACCCCGCCCAGCCCGTGTCTGGAGATGCTACCCTACCTGTGATTTCAAAGGTTCTTTTCAGAGCCACCCACCGTGTCAAATGAAGAGTTCTTACACTAGTGTTATATGCGATTGGGTCGATTGTGACCCTGCATAGGGTTTCCGAGGCTGTAAAATGTTTACGGGAGTAGAAAGCCTTATCTTTCTCTAGCGGAACCGCTAGTATTTTTGAACTGTCTTAAGATCAGCAGCTCGATTTGTGTTTTAGGGGTCAAAATTTTTCATTTTCTCTTTGAAGCGGTTAGTGGCTCAAACTACCCGCTATCTCGTTCGTAGTCAGGTGCTAATGGTACTCTCCAGTCTTATTTTTTTCTCACTTTCCCGTGTATTAAATTCCTGACCTTGGCATTCCTAAAACGGAAAAACGTGTGCTTTTCATTCTTGCGGTTCGAATTATCATGTCGGGTGAGTTGAACATCCTAGGGCTAAATGCAGATGAGGGCATTTAGAGATTTTGGGTGCTCTAGTCAAAACGATCCGCTTACTGACTGGACGTCAACTCCCTTGTGTCCGAGGTCTTTGCCCGCCACGTACAGTGATTATGAAGGGGATGTTGTCAGTTCCGGAGTGTGGCGGACCTGAGCCTCCGTGTAGCCCCGTGTCTCTAGGAAGGGTGGAAAAAAGTTCATGGCTTTAGGAGGCATTTATTTTGCACCCTGGGAACAACTTTACGAATTGAAAATCACCGTGGAAACGTCAGCTAGAGCAAGTGGAGTTAAGGACATGGGGCTGTGAAATGATAGTAAAGCGGTTTGTTTCTGCGGAGCGGGAGACGAACGTTTAATTCGATAGCTACATGCACAGTGCAGAAAGGACAGAGTAAGGTGTCCTTTTCTAAAGGAGTAAGAATCTGAGGAAGAATGGCCTTTACGCCGTTGCAATCAGAAGTTTCTCAATATAAGAAACCCAGGGTAAAACTGTTGACAAAGTGTAAAAGGAGGGGTACGGTGCCGGAGCCCGCCGGTGACGCCGTGACGTCACAGCCAATGGACAGTCAGCGCGGGACTTTCAATTGTAGCTCCGCCCAATCGGGGGGGAGAGACTGCGCCTATAAAGACTGCGGCGGCGGCCAGTCGGTCCTGTTCTTTCTGCCCGCCGTCCGTTGGCTCTTCTTCTCGTTCACTATGGCCCGTACCAAGCAGACTGCCCGCAAATCGACCGGGGGCAAAGCCCCGAGAAAGCAGCTGGCCACCAAGGCTGCCCGGAAGAGCGCGCCGGCCACCGGCGGCGTGAAGAAGCCTCACCGCTACCGGCCAGGCACCGTGGCCCTGCGGGAGATCCGGCGCTACCAAAAGTCCACCGAGCTGCTGATTCGCAAGCTACCGTTCCAGCGGCTGGTGCGCGAGATCGCGCAGGACTTCAAGACCGACCTGCGCTTCCAGAGCTCGGCGGTGATGGCGCTGCAGGAGGCCAGCGAGGCCTACCTGGTGGGGCTGTTTGAAGACACGAACCTGTGCGCCATCCACGCCAAACGCGTGACCATCATGCCCAAGGACATCCAGCTGGCCCGCCGCATCCGCGGAGAGCGGGCTTAAGTTAAACTGCGCGCTCACCTCGAAGTTCCATCGTATCCAAAGGCTCTTTTCAGAGCCACTCACAGTAACACCAAAGAGGCTGTATCACTTAACATAATGCTTGGTCAGGAAGAGAGATTGGTGGCTTAGCTTCTCCAGTAGAAGTGGGTTGAGTGGAAGGGTGGGACGCTTAGTATGTTTGCTTCTCTCAGGACACTTTGAGATGTGAGATTTATGGATGCAGCTGTAGTTTTTGGTCCTTCAGATTGGCAAAAGGCACATACAATTAGGACTGGCTATTCCTGTGTGGTGCTGTGGGTTAATATGCCAGACTACAAAGGCATTTGAACTGCAACGTCGGCGGTTCGAGCTCTCTAGCTGCTTCTTGAAAACCCTATACAGAGCCGCTATAGGTCGCAGTCGACTCGATGGCACTTAACATCCCTAGTAGCTACCCAAAATGCTAGGTGTCTAGGGAGAAAAGTGGATGGGTAGGGAGTAAGGAGTGAACTGCCAGGAGCCATGTCAGACGCGAGCACCCCTGGACCGACCTTTCCAGAGTGGAGATTTGTGCACAACAGCACTTAACAAGGTGCTTACCAGGGTCCTGGTGTAGCGCTGTGGGTTAATGCGCTGGACTGCAAAGTCGTTTGAACCACAAGGTCAGTGATTCAGGGTCACCAGCTGCTCCTTGGAAACCCCATACAGGGTCGGTATAGCACCTCCCTGTGCTCTCCAGCTCAGAAAGGAAACTCACTTTATTTCATACTTTCATTTCCTGTGCTTGGGTTGCTGTTCCGGAGGCAGTGAGGCCCCAGCTGCTTCTGCAGCAGGGTTTTCAGTTTTTACTAGCTTCTCATGCTAGTAAATAGTGAAAGGTGGAGGCTTTACTGATAATTTCTGCATTCTCTGGAAGGTGGGCATCTAAGGCCATTTAGTTGTGTGAGTACTGGGTCAGTGTCTGACAGAGTCCACACTACACACACAGTGCCCAAATAAAACAGTAGTTCAGTCCTTCAGTGATGCCTCTTAAACTTTTGGTCATTTATTTGCTTACTTTTTTTGTTCCGGCACAGTTGACGGCAAGAGGCATTTATTGCAGAAATAAGTGAGTCAGAGCTCACTCCACAGCACATAACCAGTACCACTACTATGAAGGATTCCTGGTGTGGCATGCTGTAGGATGAGCACGAGACTAACTCCAAGGTCGTTATTGGTTCAAGTCCACCAACCATTACAATGGGGCACACTTTATGGTGGTGGTGGTTGTATGCCCCCAAATTGGTTCTGACACATAGTGACCCTGTATAAGGTTTCTGAGGCTGTAAATCTTTACAGGAGCAAAAAGCCTCATCTTTCTCCTGCCTGACACTCTATACAGGGTCACTGTGGGTACCAATGTGTTGGTTCTGACCCTATATTGTGATCCTGTACAGGGTTTCTAAGGCGTGGCTGGTACGTTTGAACTGCCGACCCCACAGTTCAAACCGACCTTGAGGCAGTCCAGTGCTTATCGTACAGGCATTTAACACACTCATAACAGCACAGGCCTGTCCTCACACAAATCTTTCAAATCTTTCTATTTGAGAGACCAGCATAAACTGAGTTCATCAGTGTTTGTTGTCAGGTAAACCCATGTGACCATGTTTGTTGTCTGGTTAGTAGCACATCAGACTAACCATTACAATGGAACATACATTCCACTGTGGTGGCTAGAAGGGTAAAGGGTAAAGGCAAGTGTAAAATGACCTGAGAACTGAATGCAAGACACAGCCATTCCCACAAAACTAGATTCCCAGACTGTCTCAGCCATAACATATACTTCCAAACCCACTGTCATCAAGAAAATTTTGACTCATAGTGCCCTTGTATAGGGTTTCTGAGGCTTTAAATCTTTATTGTTGTTTTTTGTCCAACTTTCACATGCATATGAGGCTATTGGAAATATCATGGATTGGGTCAGGCGCACCTTAGTCCTCAAATTGAAATCTTTGCTCTTTAACACTTTAAAGAGGTTTTGTGCAGCAGATTAGCCTAATCCATATGTTGTTTGATTTCTTGACTGCTGCTTCCATGAGTGTTGATTATGAATTGGACTTCTTCCTTCAGTCCCACTGGTTCTTGATCATATGCTACATTTTGAAATGGTTGAACATGGACCATTTCTTTCTGGTACAATGACTGTGCATTGCTTCCATCTTCTTTTCACACTTCCTGCATCATTCAGTATTTTGCACATGGAATCCTTCAATGTTGCTAGTTAAGGCTTGAATTTTTTTTTTCAGTTCTTTCAGTTTGAGAAATGCTGAGCATGTTCTTCCTTTTTGTTTTTCTAACTCCAGTTGTTTATGGGACCTGGCTCCTTAACCACATACATTGGTGTTGTTAAGTGCCGTCGAGTCTGTTCCGACCCCGTGTAGTGTTTCTGAGGAGCGGCTGGTGAGCCTAAACTGCCAACCTTGTAGTTCAAACCAACCTTGCAGTCCAGCACATTAACCTACAGTGCTACCCCAAGACTACCAGCAGGAGGTCTTGAGTGTTTGGGGTATTTTACACTGGCTGATGTTTTGCTTTTAAATCTAATTTAATATCAGTTCAGGGAGTAGGATTCTTGAGGGGAAAGACCCTATCATGGAAATCTATGTTCATACCACTAATGGCTCTGCCATGCTGGCAAGTCATTCACTCTCTGAGAACTTAAGGCTGCACCTTCGAGAGCAAACTTCAGTGGATGAGCTGCTGGATGTAAAGGTGTGCTGTCCTTTTGCTCTAAGTCACACAGCTGCTTTTGCCTGTAACTCAAAAGTACTGATCCCAAGAAGCTCATCAGTCACTGTGGACGTGAGCAGGGAGGGAGGACATGGTGGACACATGGAGCCTATTCTGAAAACCCCTGTGCATCTTAGGATGTGAACTGGGGGACCTCATGTTAGAAGAGACAAGATAGTTTGACACTGCTCTTTCCTGTCGTTTTTTACCCCCAAACTCCTTGCAAAAGATAAAAATAAGTCTTCAAAAGTAGACTTGTTTTCATTTCTTCTCCTTTCTGTAAATTCCCATGAAGTCTATAATGCTTTTACTTGTGAACTGTGCTGAGACATGCCAGAAAACCACAAACCTTGGCTTCTTCCAGGTCCAAATAAATCTCTTTAAATACATGTATATGTATTCTGAAGATCCCTAACTGATACACTTCACCAAACTCAAAGGTCAAAGACTATAGGGTAAGGCAGGAGCTTGGAAGATGGTTGGAAGAAGCATGATAAAGGAAGGTAGAGAAAGAAGAGTACTAAGTAGTCCAGGGCCTAGTTTCTCCTGGCTAATGTCAGGCAGTAGGTTGCCGGGGTCTGGCCCCGACATAGTTGTCACGAGTTTTTGGTTCACGAGGAGGGGAGATCCAGCGGCGATAGGGATAGCGAAAGAATACACAGACAAACAGAAGAAGGGAGACAATGAGGCACCCCAAAGCCAGGGTGGATACATCACTGGTGGGCAGGCTTGGGACTACAGGCATCATGGCCTCTGCAGGCAGCGACTCACTGCCCTGCAATCTTTAATGGATGCCTTCCAACCCGTAACGCACCGCAATCTTTACTCCATACCTCCCAACCAGTAATGCACTGATCTTTACTCCATGCCTTCCTACCAGTAATGCACAGATCTTTACTCCATGCCTGCCAACCAGTAATGCACACCTGGGGAGGCCCAGGCCTCTGCTTTATTTAGGGGAGGAGTTTCACACCAAGCTGGGAGGGACTAAAACAGGATACAGCTAACATCAGTAATTTTCCAGACATTCAGGTAACTTTACATTGTACTTCACTGGTTCGAATCCCAGGCCAGCAACTTGGATTCTCAGGCCCAATTAACATATCTATAGCCCCTGAGGTCAGTTGGGGGAAGTTGAGAGTTCTGTAGGAGACGCCCAGGTGAATGGGCTGCACCTGGAAAAGGGATTAGGGAGGATGGGTTCTTTGTCTATAGAACAAAGAACCGAGAAGTAGCTAAGATATTTTTAGTTAATCCTTTGGAGAAAGGTTTAACCTTGCAACCTTTAGTCTTGGCTTTAGGAAAATATCACATTTATCTGTGGATTGTCAAAGACTCCAGTGTATTAATTTAATATATATACCTGAATATTAATATGAAAGCAATTTGCCATTAACTGCCAGTGGCCTCATTTGTTACACTCGGCCCTAGTGGGCCTCGAACCTCTGATTAGTCTTACATGGTCTGCAACAGTAGGTACCCTTCCTTGGTTTCTGTCAAAGGTGAATCCTTTGAGAACAGGGCCATGTCTGCCTCACTGAACTCATTCTAGATGTGCTCTACAATAAGTTCTGGTTCTCAGCCATGGAAAGGTTCTCCACTCCAGTTAGACTGAGTCTTCTCCTCTTTCATAGAGCCAGGAAATATCAGGCAGTGCAAATAAATATGTACACTCACACTTTGAGGCAATTGGGCCTATCTGACCCAATTTCTCTCACCCAGTGAGGGTCAGGTCTTAGCAGAACACTGCTGCCTTCCCTATCAGCCAGCCTCTTGGAGATTTATCCCACAATGCCAGACAACAGAATGCAGGTCTGGATGTGAGCAAGGTCTGGGGAGGACTGTGGGAAATTCTACGGTGTCCCAGGACTCTTTAAACCTTAACAGAGGGTTTAGGAACAGCTTTGATTCCTTTTTGGTAATAGAAAGCTGAACATTCCTGTGAATATCAAATTTTCTAGGCCTAACAGTAAATTTATAGAATGTCTGTTGGTTTGATAAACTGAGATAAAGCAGTACCTGGTTTTTTTGTTTTGTTTTGTTTTTAATGTCAATCTGGAAATCTAATTGTTTCAGATAATAAAGTATTCCCTTCTCTCAGATTAGTTTTAAAGCCCCCCTCCAAAAAAAAAAAATTCTTATTATGTTCTCACCATGTCCAACCCGGTTCCAAGAACAGTCTCCTCTGGAACTGGTGGTGTTCATTGGACTTTGGATCCTTCAATAAAAGTTGACTGTTGTTGTTGTTGTTAAGTGCCATCCAGTCAATTTCGACCCATAGCGACCCTGTATAGGGTTTCTGAGGA